ATGTATATATACATATATATATATATATATACATATATTAAAAACTTAAACTATTAGAGTGGACATAAAAGATAAACCAGTTTGTTGGATTTTTATTGGACTTCCAAACTTCTTTTAATAATGGCAGAAACATTCAATGAAATTTAATTTTATTAGCTTTTATTGAAGGCAAACCTTTATTTCTAATTCTTATAGGGACACTATTCCATATTTGTATATGTCAGCGTTTCATAATTTATCTATTTGTCAAATATGTGTTCTCAGAATTTTAATTAGACATGTAAAAAAAATCTTAAATTATCCAGTCAAATTCAGAGTAAGAGAGTTGAATTAATGAAGCCAAACCAGCCTCTCCTCCCTTGGATAAATAAATTATTGATTAAATTATTCACTCCAAGTTAATTTCAGTCAACGCTACAAAGAGCTGTGCGTGGCCCGGGAGCCACAGTTTGCAGATCCCTGTGCAGCTTTGTTGTTTTTATTTCAGCGTGGACTCGAACCTGCAGCCTCAGGATTACAAGACGGCGGCACTGACCACCGAGCTACCATACCTCTTAATGTGCAGCTTTAATACAACTTTTAAACACAAATGTTTTAAAATATTTACTTCCGAATTATTATTTTTTTTTTTTAAGCAAATTTTTGTTTGTTCTCTGATGGGTGTGAGGAGATGAGTGCCTGTCGCCAAGGACCAACCCTGACTTCACCTGACCTTTAGGGGCACGGCAAATGTCTCGTAAATCACTCCCGTGCACCGACACACGAATACAAACACACTCTCTGTCACGTGCACGCCCCATTAATTAAACCTGCAGCACTTTCTCTGACTTTTCTCTGAGAGTCGGTGGATGAGCGCTGAGAAAAAAAAACAAACTCATTAAACATCTTCATTTGTCTTCCACTCACCCCTGACTCTAATCTGTGCGTGCGTGCGTGCGTGCGTGTTTTGTTGCCTCCTTGAAGTCCGGTGCTGAAGTGACAAGCGATGAGGTCAGTTTGCATTCAACTGGAAAACATATAAAGTCTGGAAAGCCCCCTGGAATACCCCTCAGAAAATAGTTGAAAATTAAAACTTTAAAGGTTCTTTTAAACCCCAAATTTAATCTCGATTGTTTTATGTTCTCCAAACTTTATGAACGATAATTTAAGAATTAGAAAATTACATTAATCATTCAGGTTTAAGACTAAATTATATCAGAGAACCTAAAGCGACAGAGACACTACTATGCTTTCCTGTTGTAGACTAGGATCATCTTTTGATGACTTGGGATGGACGTTCAGCTATTTGGTCTAAATCTTAAATAAACAAATAAATATATAAAAACATTATGCAATCTTGCACGAAACACAATGACTTAAAAAAAAGTTTCAGCCCATCTTAATCATAAGGTTTTCATTGCATTTGTCCAATATATTCAATTTAGATTTCCTTAAGTTTCATTGATAAAATGCAGTTTTTCATCAACTTACTTGAAAGTTATTTGTAAGAATATTGGGGGCCGGATAGAGATCGTCCAAGGGCCACTTTTGGCCCTCGGGCCATACGTTGCCAACGTCTGATCTGTTAGCACTTAAAGTATGTGCTGTGAGTTGCTCTCAGCTACTGCCGCACCACGTTTTAGCTCAGTATTTGTAAAACTAACTGAATCTTAGCTATTTTTGTGTTTGCTAAAAGCAACTAGGTGTGGTGGCCATCTTGAATTGAATTGGCTCCACATTTTGAACCTTTGTAGACGCACAGCAAATGATTTGTTTCCTGAAAATTTCATCAAAATGCTTCCAGTGGATCATGAGATATTTTGCTAACAGACAGGCAGACACAAACAAACACGGGGAGGAAAGTTTGGTGTGTTCTTAGGATTATTTAAAAACCATTTTTGTGAATAAATCGTCCTGTTGTGACCCCGCAGCTCCGCTTGACGACCCGAGTCCTGCTGTTGGGGCGTCTGAGAGCGTCCGTTCAGCCGCGGAGAGCAGCAGATAAAAAAGGTCAAAGGTCGGCTCGGCTCTTTGATAAAAACCTTTTTCCTGAATTATCCGCTTAAAAGGCACGTTATTACTAATTAATCAGGTTAATTATCTTGAATGGGGGGGGAGGCGCGAGGTTCGGGTTTGGATGTTTGGACACATCCGTCTTCTTGTTGACCTTTGACATGAAACGATATGTGACATCTTACCGTTTTGTAGAAAAACAAATACACAACTTCATGATATCTATATTAAAATGGAAATGTTGATCTGGAACAAAAACATTTAGAAATATAAATAGGTGATGATTTTAAGTTTAAGAGGCTCATTTAGCTGAGATTTTTCTGCTTTTTGGATTTTCTTTAGCCACATGCTGTGAAGAAATCCAAACGGTATTAGTCCAGTTGATGACATAAGAATCACTCAACAGGTATTTATTTTAACAATAAACACAATCTTTGTAATTTACCTTGTATATTGTCAGTTTATAAAATTAATCCTGATAAAACTGAAGCAACTTTCCACCCAACATTGAAAGAAACACAAGCACCAAATGTAATTTAGGCTCACCAAACTAAAAAGTAAGGTTTAAAAGGTAAAAAGATGCATTTAAACCACAAATAAAGTTCTGTTTTACACTCTAATAAAGATAAAGTTATATTTAATCTAAACTAGCGTTTGATAATTCAACTAAAGAATTAAATATGTGAGAATAACGATTAGGTCAGAGGATTTCATTTTTTTGTTTGTTTTGTGAATGTCCAGAGGACCAGCCTTAACTTTTTTAGATTTTTCTACCTGGATTATTGAGCATGCATCAGGATATTTCAGAATCTCCAAACAGCACAAGAAGCACAATAAAAAGCTTGAAGTTTAATACAAATTATAAAAACATTTAAAGAAATAACCCCCATGGCTTGAGGAATATGTTCAGGTAAGGAAAGCACCGAGGGACATTCTGTTTTCAGAAAAACAATTAAGTAACTTTAGGTATTTGTATTTAATTAGCAATAATTTGTTGCTTTATTACAACAAAATCTGCATACTTCGACTGTTAAAAACATCTAAAAACTTTACCTTTTGGATGAAAATTGTGCGGTTCTAATTTAATTTCAGATTATTAATTATTGCAAGAATATACTTAATTTACAAGGAATCAGTTGATCCATTTTAGGGATTAAAAGAAAACACTTGGTCTGATTTTTGGTCTTTTCCGTTTGCTGTTTACACAAACAAACATTAATGGAAACATAAAAAATGCTCTTTGCAAAGTCATGAAAACCAGTCTCAATAAATAAATAAATAAATAATAAATGGTTAATGTGTCCTTAAATTAAAAATCTATGATCGGCTGCTAACTACCTCTAGAAACAGCAGAAGTGACTGAAAACAGAACATTTTGATGTTTTCTTTACGTTCAGATATGTAAAGTATGAAGACTAAAGTACTTTGTTTACATTGGCTGCGTACCTGCACTTTAGAATAGCATTTCAAACTGAACAAAGTACTGAATTAAAACTCTTTCAAAGCAATTATTGAAGCTCATGTAACACTTTTTACATTTGAATTTTTTTTTTTGCGTGTAAAGAGTACCTTTAACACCACAGTTCTTCAGTAAATGATGATTCGGAGCTACTTAAACCTTAAAACTAAAATCTATAAATTTTAAAATGGAAATTTTCTACTTTACTGGAAGAACATCATCCTCCAAATATTTGGGGTTTTGGCTGAATTGTTGTCTATATTTAAAAGAACATTTCCAACATTTAGTTAAAAAAAAAGGCTGAAGGTTTTAGTTTAATTTTAATTTATTATCTAAACAGAGGCAGTTTTAATTTATCAGTCCAAAAAAATACATTATTTATATGCTGTTTCTTCTGCACGTGGTTTAGATTCTCTGTAGTCATTGTGTGCATAATAATCTGCATTCTTTAAGCCAAAATAACGGCGCTGATATATTTTACGTATACGCTGTATCGAGTGAACTCCTCTCGTTGTTTTTGTTTGTGATCGTTCAGAGCGGCGCTCCTGCAGTCACAGCTCCTCTGTCGAGTTCACAGAACATTTTCAGAACTTCGCAGAACGTTTTCTCAGTTTGCACCTGGAATAATCCTCAGATAAAACCAAAGCAGTGAAACTGCTGCTCTTAATCAGGACCCTGTGCTTGTTTTGTGTTGATTCTGACTCGTTTCATTGTATTTTGATATTCACTGTGATTTTGCGCCATCTTGACCTTCTCACTTAAAAAAGAAGTCACTCTGTAGAGACCTTGTGATTAAACATAAGAAAAATACTTTTTGTTCATTTACAGCAGGATTTTTTGTGTGTTTCTGTCATATGAGCTAATTTAAAAATAGTTAGATCATTTTGGAAGCAGCTAAGTGTGAAAGCACAGATCTGCTGATCCAGATGTTAAATTTGTGTAAACGGCTGCAGGATGAACGTCTGGCTGAATTCATTTCTCTTGTTGCAGGTGACCCATCCTGCCACCCTGACGTACCTGTCTGGTTCCGGGGGGGCGGCTGCGTGTCCATACAGCTGCTCAGGTAAGACGGGCTGCTGAACATCCTGCCGGGGGGCTGGTGGTGGTGGGGGCCGGCCACCGGCGGGGGCTGGCTGGGAGCCACGGGCGCAGGAGGAGGTGGGGGCGCCCCGAACGCAGTCCCGTACCTGCAGGCCCCGGTGCCCGTGAACTGACCCGAGAAGTGCACGGTGAAGGCGCTGAGGCCGCAGTGGGGGTCTGCATCAAGGTGGTGTGGGTCCCCCGTGGCCCCCCAGCTGGGCTCCTGTTTGATGAAGGAGTGGGCCCCCAGGGAGGTGTGGGGAGCAGCCAGGGAGGGGTACGGAGAGGCGGCGGCAGTGTGGAAGTCCAGGACGGGAGCCCACTGAGGGGCCGTGGTGACGGGCAGAGGGCTTGGGCCCGCCGGTACCGGGGGCAGCAGGGAGTTCAGGTCACGCACTTCTGAACCCATTGTGGTCCAAAACAACAACAAAAACAACAACAAACAAACAAAAAGTCACCTTCTGAATCCTTCAGAGTCAAAACTTTCCTCTGAGAGTCACGGCCTCAAACTGCAGAAACTAAAGTTCATGTCAGAAAAGAGACACGACGATCACCTGGGATCTTCAGCACCAGAACCTGGACTCTGGCTCCGAGGGTCCATTCAGGGAGGCGATGGGAGTCTGCTGGAGCTCTCACTGTGGATGGAGGAAGAGGAGTGGAGGAGTGAGGAGGAGCAGCCCTCTTTTCCCTTCACTCTTCTTCAGTGGATCTGAGAGGAGGGAGGAGGAGTCAGGAGGTGAGGGGGGACCTCTGACACACACACACACACACACACGCACACACACACACGCACACACTAATAAAATTACCTAATATATGTCTAAACATATATCTCCTTATACTATAAGGAGAAAAAATAACTAATCAGTTGTTTTGGTGATGTTAAATTTATACATTTTCACCTTTTTTTCTAAAGTTATGATCAACTTTCTGTCCAACACGATCATAAAACCAAAACATTTTGAAATGCATACAGTTAAATAAGTTACAATAAAAGTTTTGGTGCATAATTTAACAGTCGAAAGGAGCAAACCACAGTGAGGCCACGGCTTATCTTAACTAAACATATTCAAAAACTAATTTATTAATTTTGTTTTCATTAATAAGTTTCAAACCAGCGCTAAATGTTCTTTTCTCCTTTTAAAAGGAGGAACATCTGCTGGCTGTATAATTAACGCGTAGAACAATAAATAAATTGTTAGGGCTCTAACGGTGCATTGTCATTGTGATGGTCCTTTTACATGTGAACAGCTAGTTCTGACTGTCAGCAGCAAACTGGTTGATCAATTATGATAAGGTGCTATTAAAAGACTGAGTTTTGTGTAGTGTTTCAGACTGAAGAAGTCTTTTGGATAAAAGACAAAATGTCTAAAAGAAAAAAAAAGAAGAATCCGTCCAGATGACCTGACTTGACCTTTTTCATTCAACCTTTATTTATACAGGTAAGTCTCATTGAATCACCAGGACTCATTTTCAAGAAAGACCTGTTAGATTTTTTTTTTAGATTTGTCTACCTGGATTATTGAGCATGCATCAGGATATTCCCAAATTTAACATTTTTCTTAGATCCTATTTTTCATCCAGCTCGTGCAAATTTTATTAATATTTTTTGAACCGGATAAAGAACATATGAGTGAGGGTTATCACCACAAAAGCTAAAATAAGTCAGGATTGTGAGGTGACGATGGGCCATAAGATCTGACGTTCTCTAAAAAAACGAACAAAAACATTTAACGATTTGAGCAGCAGCTGTCCCTTTTTTTTGG